TAGTGAGTTATTTAACACATACACTATAGTAACTGACACTTTACCCCAAAATGATTTATGAAACTTTGAATGAGGGAGTAAACATATTGTTCTCTTTACCAAAGTTTTATTCATCCTCTTAGTCAAGCCATTTAATTATGGTGTCTTTAGGGCCGTCGTATGATGTTACATAATATATTTTTTGCAATAAGCATGAAATTGCCTAATATACTCTCCATCATTGCCTATGTGGATACATTTTATCTTTTCCTAGTTTCTTTCTAGCACTTGATCTTTAGACATAATGGTATAAGTCACTGTCTTCTTAGAATCATCATCAATGAAGGCCATGAAGTATCAAGCTCTATTAAGTCACTTCAGAAGTGGACTAAACACGTTAGAATGAATGAGATTCAATACATTATCCATTCTAGAAGGTGGAGAGTTATAATTGAAAAGACACTCTGTAACACCCCGATCCGAGTGACTCAAACACGTGGACCAGCGGATCGGGTTGTCACCGCAATGGCATCCAAACATAATAATTTTCAAAACACTTTAAAACATTTAGGGGCTGTTTGTTTCAGCCTCTTAATGGTTTAGATGTCTGAATGGTTCAACACTTAATGGTTCAGACTGTTTGTTTCAGCCTCTTAATGGTTCAGATGTGTGAATGGTTAAATGATTTGCCTCTGAATGGTTAAGTATTATACAGAGTCTGAATGGTTAAGACCTCTTATCTGAATTGATCAGACATTTGCCTCTGAATAGTTAAGCACTCTACTAGCTCTTAATGGTTCAGACCTCTTACTGGTTCAGCACTTAATGGTTCAGACCTCTTACTGGTTCAGCACTTACCTATTCAAAAGTTGCCAAACAACCTTAATATTAAAAAAATACTTCCTCCGTCCCTGAAAACCTTTCCCCTTTCTTTTTTCATCCGTCCCTAAAAACACTTCTCATTTCTATTAAAAAGTCACTTTTACCCCTTACTTTTTCATACCCTACCTATCACATCATACCTTTTTACTAATAATCTATCCATCAAATCATACTTTTACCCATCACATCAAAGGACATTTTTGGAAATTCAATACCAAAATATACTCTCCTTAAATCTCTCTTCAAAATCAAAACTCACATGTTTTCCGGAACGGAGGGAGTAATATTTATTTAAATCTCCATCGGAGTTAACGAAATGGTGCAGAAGCTTAATTATTTATTACAAAATCACAACTTTTGGGCTCTTTGCCCGAAAACATATTAAATTCAATATAACATTAACTTAAATAAACTCCTTCAGCCAGTATCCATCCATCTCTTCATCGTCGCTGCCCTCTAGGATTGGTTCCTCATTCGTCATTCTTGTTACCTACGTGTAGCAACTAAATCAAACTACACGCTCAGCTTTCACGCTGACGATTGATCCATGATCCCTTCTTGCATTAACTCTGTCAAGTAAAGTGCTTTGTTACTAGTCTTTGAAGTGTGTAGTTATTTCTCCAACTTCCATGATCCCTTCTTGCGTTAACTATGTCAAGTAAACTACTTTGTTGTTGTTAGTCTTTGAAGTGTGTAGTTATTGCTCGGGCTTCTTCATTACAAGTATAACTATACACGTTTTCATCGATAAGTCACTTATGCTCAAATTCTCAAACATTATCAGACACATCTTTTTCTTTGACGATAGAAAACACTGACAAGTGTATCTTCATAGCCATGCGAAGATCCTTCATCTAACTTCTCCAAAGATAATAGTTTAAACTATCCAAATTGGTCTGTTAGCTAATCTTTACTTTCATTGCCCCGAACATGAATATGGACCAACCTTGGATACATCTTGTTGGCGTGTAGTGGAATAAATAATTAAATTAAAAAGGAAAAATCCAACAAACAAGACAATGGTATCAGGGAATTCAGTATATCCCACACCGGTCGAAAAAGAGAAGTGAACTAAAATGTATAAGTTTACCCCAACCAATTAATTAGGAGGTGTCGAAAAATGAAGTTGTGAGGGTTTGGTCCAAAGCAGACGATACCATACTGATTCAATGATAGGTAGGGGTAAGGTACTTCTAGTCCCAACATGTCATATTGGAACCAAAGTTTGGAGCATGCAGGAGTGTGGATTGGGTTATGAGGATTCTTGGTGTGACGGCTTGCCAATCAGAACATGACGAGAGGAAGTTTATAGGTGGTACCTTGTGACAAACGTTTTTCTGATAAGAACATGTGATTAGGTGGCATGTCTTGTTAGGTGGTAACAACGATGCAAGGTGATTTGGTATATCAAATGATGTGACCTAGCAGTGGAGAAATAAGGTCGATACCTTGTGTCTAAAATTTTCTCGGTAAAGAGATCAGAGAATCAGGCTATGTAGCCCACAAGTTGTTGCAGCAGTATAAGACGGTGGACAAATTAAGGGGAGTAGCGCTTGAGCCAAGATCACGAGTCATGTGGTCCTAGTTTGAGGGAAGGTTTATCGCAAAATTCAAACCATCCCACACCGGATGAAAAGTAAACAAAAATAATTAGGCTTAAGCCAACCATTCATATGAGACTTTTTGGTGGTGCTCAAAAAAATTGTGAGAGTTTGGCCAAAAGCAGAGAATATCATATTAATGCGAGATTATGGTGAGGTACACGCAGCTACGTGCAGTACCAACAACTGTGAATTTAGCAATGTGGTTAACCTAAAATTTTGGGCTACGTTCACAAACGAATACTCCCCTTGTTCCTTATTCTAGCGTTACAAATAGTAGATAGAACTTTTAGTATTATAAATAGTATGCACAACCTCTTCCTCTATTACAAATAATAGCTCTCAAATGTAAAACCAAAATAGTGGGTCACAATTATAATTTCCCAAGTTTGATACTCCCTCCGTCCCTGAAAACCTTTCTCATTTCTTTTTTCATCCGTCCCAAAAAACACTTCTTATTTCTATTAAAAAGTTACTTTTACCCCTTACTTTTTCATACCCTACCTATCACATCATACCTTTTTACTAATAATCTACCTATCAAATCCTACTTAATTTTACCCATCAGGGACATTTTTGGAAATTCAATACCAAAATACACTCTTAAATCTCTTCAAAATAAAAACATCTCATGTTTAAAGGGACGGAGGGAGTATATTTATCTCACTATTTTTTCACTCATTATCTAAAACAAAAACATTCTTTAAGTACTCACGTTCATGTTATCTTCAAAAGAAAACCTTTGCTTTGATTTTCATTTTCTCCCATCTCTCTTATTTATAGAGAGTTCGATATATATTCTCCAATTTGGAATTTTTTATCCCTTTAGCAGTCATGGTATGTATTGCCTTCAATGTCAAAGCTTATAGCCAAATATATTGATTTTCTCCCTTAGTTTCCTTTTGGAAGGAAGCACCCAACAAACAGGTCATATGCATGAGTCACATAATGAGTATGTTGTATATGACTTGCTTGGGATATAGACATGATTTTTTCTTGAACTTGTTTGAATCCCTTCATAATAACAAATTAAGGACTTATTTTGTGACCTTTGAATTCGAGTATTTAAGGCAAAATGTGTAGAGTGATATGTAACCCTTTTGTGTAAACTAGATGTAGAAAGCTTGTTCTCAAACTTACAATTAATTTTTATATTGTGAGAATGCATTGTTTAAAGTTAGATACCTACACTATGTTTGGTACGAGGAATTTGGAAGGAAAAGAAAAGAAAATGGTTCTCTCTCATTTTCCTTACCAAAATGGGAGGAATTTGATTTTTCCTCTATCTGATACATTTTGCCTTCTCATTTTCTTTTCCTTTCTTTTCTCCTCTAGCCAAACAAAAAAACGGTTTTCCACTTCATTTTCTTTTCTCTTCCCTTTCAAATTCCTTACTTGAACCAAACATAGTGCATGTTATGGATTTCATTCAAAAGAAAACAATAACAAATTACATTGAAATCTCTGCTTCTATATATGATAAAATTGTGGAGTAGTACGTACTACTTTCATGGTTGTATTTCTTTTGATATATCTAGACTACCCCTCCCTCTCTCGTGAAATTCAATTGGGTTGTTGTTTTCTTTTAATATAATGTCATACAACCATTTAATATGGTTTAAACCAAGTATCTTATCATTCATATGGTCAATTGAGAATGTGCTAGAATGGCTCTAGCTATGAGTATTCTGAAAAGAAAGATTTTGTTGGTATTGTTGAGACTTGAAGCTTGTTGTAAACCAAATCAAAACCCATGTGTTGAAAAAGTTTTGAGCAAACTTGTTATGTGCAGGCAGTGCCTACTTTGTAAGCTATCTGGGTAATTACTTGTATAACCCTAGCTAAGATGCCTCATCCAAGTGCCACAAAGCGGCTTCTGGGAATACTTGAAACCCTCTATGGACATTGATAATTGATTTAATTAACTTCCTGCAAAAGTTTTAAAAGCTTAAAACTTTAGAAAGTTTAGTGTTTAAGGCCAACTATGCTCTGAAACTTGAAACCTATTGCCCAGTTGTGTTCCATCTAGACTTAATTGCCACTTTTTTAGTCCATTTAATTTCCATATTTAAGGAAAAATATAAGATGATTTGTCTAAGATATTGTAAAGATAGATATTGAGCATTTTTACAAAAATGAGCGACAAACGCATTTGAAGTACTTCATTCCATCATCTACGATGGAGCGAAAGATTGACTACGTAATGAAATATTTTTTAGCGTTGGAGTATAATGAAATAAAGTAAAATGATTCTTGTAAGTGTCTTTGCTATTTATCTAATAGTGAAGTAGCGGTTAATCAATGTAACTTTCGACGCTCATCGTGGAATAGCCGCTCTATGTTTTAAACACAAGGGTCGTGTCGCGCACCGACCCCTTACCCCGCAGCGGGCGGGAGCCTTTGAGACACTAGGGTAATATTGTGGTTGTATCATATCAACCCCGGCCTTATTCAAGCATTTTTTATGCTTATTTTGAGCAAATTGCCAAGTGCTTTTTCATTTTATTTTTTCTGATTTTTTTTTAAATATTGTATTAGCATGGAAAAAGTACTGGAGAGATACGAAAGATACTCATATGCAGAGAGGCAAAGCAATCCTGCTGATTTAGACTCCCATGTATGCTTAGTTTATTATACAAACTATATTGGTAAATTTTATTTACAATTCTTCACTTTTAGTTATAATAATTAACTTTGTGTAGCTGATTTTTTTATGCAGGGAAGTTGGACCCTAGAGCATGCAAAGCTCAAGGCTAGGATGGACATTTTACAGACAAACCAGAGGTACCACAGCTTAGAAACAATATTTATATATAGATTGTAGAGTAAATAGTTATAATAGATTCCTTTTATGTGCATTATATGTGCAAATATTTCCTATGTTACTTGAGTATATAAAACTTTGGAATTTTATCTATGTTTTGACTTAGCTTTTGACCTACTCTCTTCGTCCTAAAACGTTATTCCTAGTTACTATTTATGCGGTCAAACTTAATCACTTTATTTATCTATTATTGTTAGTTATTTAATAAAATAATAGTCTTTTCAACTCTTGTTTTATACTCCCTCCAGTTCCATTAAGCCATTCTCATTTTGACTTTGGGCCAAAATAAGGAAAGTGTAATTTTGGTTGACTTTCCAATTTTCCCCCGATGTGATAGGTAAAAGTAAGATGTGATAGTTTGCTTATTAGTGAAAAAATATGATGTGATAGATAGAGTATGAAAAAGTAGGGGTAAAAGTGGTTTTTTATTAGAAAATGGAAGTGTTTTAAGAAATTGGAAAAAAATGAAAGAGGAAGGATTTAATGGAACGGATGGAGTAGAACTTTTGATGTTATTTTTAAATATATAAATTTTATTTTTTAATTTTATACCTACAATTGAATAAATTGAAATGAAAATAAAGTTGGTCAAAACCTCGTATTCAATTTGGAAGATGATATTTGCACTTCATTTTTTTGCTATTGGCATTGCATAATTCACTATTAATGTGAGAGGGGGTAATAATGTATTTTTGAGTGCCAATAGCAAAAAATGGAATGCAAATATCATTTCCCATTTTATTTATGAGTCCAAACACTTAAATTTCTACATATTTATTTGTATAAGCAGTTTCAATAACTTTTTAACTTGGGTTTGAATTGGTAGTTATAAATTCTCATGGAATTAGTACTCTCCTGGAGCCACTTAAACTCATAACTAAGCCAAAAACATGTTAATAAGTTTGTGTTAATTGCTTACTTTAGCAACTTTATTAGTGTTTAAGACAAACTGTATGTCTTTTAATTACTTGTAAAATAAGCATTTGAGCATTTTTCTTGCTAACAATAAGTGTGATGTGGCCTATATATATATATATATATATATATGTATGCTGCAGGCACTATGAAGGTGAAAACCTAGAATCTTTAAGCCTTAAAGAGCTTCAGAATCTTGAACGTCAACTGGATTCTGCCCTAAAAAATATCAGGTCAAGAAAGGTAATTAATTACTCCACATTCTTTAATTAACTGAAAAAAAAATAAAATTAAAGCTGGTTCAATTTATTTGTCCCCGAAATCCATTTTACAACTTTGCCCCTACCTACTCTTCCATAAGAATTACCCTAAATAGGAACAAAATATAGAGAAAGTACCAAAATAGAAATTCCATATTTTTATCCCGAAAATAGTAATTCGCGATGTGGAAATGTGGCACTGTATATAAACACCTCACAGTACTTTTTGGTAATTTACATCGTCGTGATTGACACTGTAAATGCATTTTAATTCCTATTTCGAGAATTAAAACATGGAACTTTTATTTTTATATATTTTGAATATTTCACTACTACTTTAGTCGTGTGAAGGCGGCTTAGCTAAATAATCTTTAATTTGTGGGTTTGTTTTCCTTGTAGAATCAAGTCATGTTTGAATCAATTTCCCTGCACCAGAAAAAGGTTTGGATTATTATTCTTTCGTGTATTAAAGTTTACCGTAGATCTAAAATCCATGGTGGACCTACAAATGTGTTGTGTTGGTACTTGGTAAGTAATTGTTTACTAGTGAGATGAGCATTTTTTATAAATAAAAACAATAAAAAAAATAATGTGTTTGGACCATGCACAATTTTTTTGTGGAGCTTAGGTAATTTATTTTATTTTATGTTTTAATTTTATTTTGTATTCCCTCTGTGCCACTATTTTGTCTTTTTTTGTATTTTTATATCATACCATATAATTTGGTTACAGATTATATTGTGTGATTTACATTCATTTTGAGAAGGAAAATGCTAGAGTCACAAACATATAGTTCACAAACTTCACAAACTTGCTTTTTGTGGATTTTAAATTAAAATATCTTTTATTATTTGAGTGCATCTTATTTGAGAATGACGTTTCCAATTAGCATTAGCCTTTTGGATAATTTTTTAGTGATACAGAATTTTTTTGAAAACGCTAAAACTAAACTTTATTGATAGACAATCTTGTCAAAATACTACAATTGATGTCAAATGGACACTTTATCTTACTTTCTAATATTAATATCAACCACACAATCTTCTTAACATTTTCGTGCTACTCCATCATGTCCCGAAAATAGTGGGGTGGAGGATGTATGCTTTAAAAAGATAAAAATTGTGTACTAATTACATGAAAATTTTTCTAACAAAGAATAATTTTATACGGAGTACGTACTACTTCCTCCGTCCCAGAAAACCTTTCTCCTTTCTTTTTTTCATCCGTCCCAAAAAACACTTCTCATTTCTATTAAAAAGTTACTTTTACCCCTTACTTTTTTCATACCCTACCTATCACATCATACCTTTTTACTAATAATCTATCCATCAAATCATACTTTTACCCATCACATCAAAGGACATTTTTGGAAATTCAATACCAAAATACACTTCCCTTAAATTTCTCTCCAAAACCAAAACTCCCATGTTTTCCGGGACGGAGGGAGTAATATTTTATTACAAACTTTTTTATATACGAATTCATTACAAGTGAAAGTTTAATTGGTGATGGGATAATACTTTGTTTAACCAAAAACTCATGATTGTGGTCGTCCACCCACAAAATGATTTTGATACGGAGTATATTCTAGCACGCTCTCACATATAGGTGTGGTCGTTTCAAAATTTGCAAGTGAAACTTAATTTCTTTTAATACACATGAAAATAAATTTAATTTCGAACTCGTAATTTGTTGGTCATTAAATGTTGATCCCACGTGAAGTTGTGAACTCAAGCAACTCAATGTCCATGGACTTATCTGTTTGAAGGAATCAAAAGTAATACTCCGTACTAAAGAACCAAAGAAAAAAATTACGATTCTATCAATTAGGGTACAAATCATGCCTTTTCGCGCATAGATATGATCTTACACGATGATGCAGGGAGGCGGTTGGAACTAGAGCTGGCAAATCGGTCAGTCAGGTCGGATTCGTGTTCAGTCACTTCAAATTCGGGTTATTTCGAGTTTGAGTCAATTTGGATTCGGGTTGAGAAATGTATGTTCATGACCCAGTGTCATTGGGTTCGGGTCGACCCAACGGATTATGACTTTGGTTTTTTAAAATTTTAAATTCACATTAACACTTACATTTTCTATTTAATAAATTTAAAATATAAAAAAGTATTAAATCTATTAGATTATTTTATGTTAAATTCTAACGTAATTTTTAGATATATAAATCAATATAAGAAATTAAAAAAAATGTTTAATTTTTGGAAAAAAGTAAGATAATTATGCAATATCATTAAAATTTTGTCTGAAAATATAAATTTATACACTAAAAACGAGTAGTAAAGTGTATGCTTTTGAAAAAAATTCTTACTTTAGCGGGTCGGTTAGGTCGGGTTTGACCCATTTTTAGCGGGTCATTTCGGGTTCGGTTAACTTCGGGTTCGGTCATCAAAACTTTTGTTCAAAACCCAGTGTTTTCAAGTCAGGTTTCGGGTCAAAAATAGGTCGGGTCATTTTTTGTCAGGTCTAGTTGGAATGTCCCTTCGTATTAAGATTGGTGATATGAATTAGTCTTTTTTTGAGTTAAAATTTCAGAGATGGATGTTGAAAAAATTGGAAAAAATTAAAAAAATTGGAAGGAGTTGGAAAATATTGAAAGAATTAAAATGTTAAAAAGTCACTCAATTAAATGATCACCCAAATAAATATATAAAAAAATTTTAATTTTGGATAAGAAAGAATTCATCATTGTCTGTATTTGAGGGTAGTATGTTATAAATTTAGATATATGGTGTTATTGTATATTCATCATATATAAATACCGTTTTTAAGTCGTTGGTAGAAACTGAAAGAAGTTGGAAGGAATTAGAAGTTGGAAAAAGATGAAATTAAGTTTTTCTCCAAACCAAAAGAACAGGGCCTTATTATATTGTTAATTAATTTAAAATTTTAACTAATTCTATACAGAATAAAAGAGATAAAAGCCTCATTTGGAATACGCGTTAAATGTTAGTGTTAGCATTTTCGAAAGGCTATCTGATGGTAGCTTTTAGCGTTAGCATCTTCAAAATTAATCTACATTATTAAAATTTTATTTAAAACACTATTCCAAAACAAGGCCAAAAGAAAATTACTAAAACAATGACACCTAGCACAAAGAGAATTACATATTACCTTCGTCCCTGAGTATTTATCGAGTTTTGACTTTTTTTGGTCAACTATTTTCAACATTTGACCTACAATTAAATAAAATATATATTGTATATTAATGAGATAAAACAATATTTTGAAAATATTTGATATAATAATTTAATAAAACTGTTTTTGTGTCAATATCTAATATCATTTTTATGTAATTTGAAGTCAAAGTTTACCAATTTTCCCCTTCCTCTGTTCCATAGTCTTTCCCTGGTGTCCATCCTTCCTTCCCTCGGTGCAATCTTGTTCTGCTCATATGGACCTACCTACTCTACCCACCCAAACCCAGCCCCACACCCACCCAACACTTCTTCTTCATCATACGATCAACCCTCTTCCCGATTTTTCAAATTGGGCTGTCCAATCCCCTCGGCCCAGTGCTCTACCCAAAACACCCATACCCTGTATTCAACCTGACCTACCCCCACGTCCATATCCTTACATGCCACACCCGTTCTTGGTACCCAACACGAAACCAGTTCCAATACCCAAGTCGAACCCATCTAGCCCAAAATTATTTTGCCCAATCTTACACCTAATGCCTCCCCCAATAACTCCCCACCCTCGGCCGACTCATTGAATGGATACCCTTGCTAAAAGTGGTATATTTAAATCCAAACTTTTTCCAACCTCTCTTCAATCTTTACCTCCTGACTCTAGGCGAGCGATATTTAAAGAGGCCTCCAAATATGAGGTTTGGCGTTTTGCCATGGATGAGGAGTATTCTGCCTTAATCAAACATAACATATGGGTACTTGTCCCCAAGCCTTTGGGTCAATCTCTGATTGGTTGCAAGTGGGTTAACAAAGTTAAACATATGCGGATGGGTTAGTCTCGTTCTCTAAAGGGTGCTTGGTTTCTAAAGTATATACTCAAGAGTATAGTTTTGATTATTCAGAAACTTTCGGTCATGCTTTTAAACAACAGACTATTCATATTGTTTTTACTCTTGCTCTTCATTATGATTAGCCGCTTCGACAGTTGGATGTTTCTAATGCTTTCATACATGGTGAAATTGCCAAAGACATTTATGTGGCTCAACCTCTGGGCTATGTTGATTCCAGGTTTCCATAACATGTTTGTAAGCTTAGCAAGTCTCTTTATGGGTCAAAACAAGCTCCCTGAGCTTGGTATGAGTGCCTCTCTATTTTTTTACTTGCGTATGAGTTCTGCAAGAACAAGCGTGGCACCAGTCTCATTATCTACCATGGATCGACTAGTATGTTGATTTTACTTGTATATATTGATGATATTATTGTCACAAGTAGTTCTCCTGTGCTTGTTCAAGACTTTATTACTCGTATGTGTAGTGAATTTCAAACCAACAATTTGGGTCTTCTTGATTATTTTCTTGGCTTGGAGGTCTCTCGTACTCCTTCCTCTATCATTGTCTCCTAGAGAAAATTTGCTACCGATCTTCTTCATCGCACTGGTCTAGAGGATTATAAGCATGTCTTGTAACCTATATCAGTTTGGTGATCCGGTCCCCTGAGAAGGGGGGATGAATCATTTCTTGATCCACTTTGTTTCGAAGCCTAGTTGGAGGGCATCAGTATCTCATGACTACACGACCGGACATTCAGTATGCAGTGAATTATGTTTGTCAGCGCATGCATAATCCCACAGTGTATGATTTCAAAGTTTGAAGTGGATTATGGGGCTTGTTAAAGGAACTGTTGACAGGGGTCTTGCATTTCGATTTGGTGATCTGCAACTGCGGGCATATTCTACCTCAGATTTGGCAAATGACATGTGTGATGGGCGCTCGATCTCAGGTTACTTTGTCTATCTTGGACCAAATCTAAAATTATAGAGCATGGAAAAGCAAACTCGCGTGTCTAAATCCTCTACTAAAGCTGAGTATTGACTTCTCTCATCTGTGGCTTCTGAACGTTTGTATCTTACTTGTGTTCTTAATGACTTCTGTGTACCTGTCTCACCTCCACATCTCTTTTTTGATAATCAATCTACTATATGTCTCACAAAAATCCAACGTTTCATAAGCATACAAAGTATGTGGGTACTGATTGTCACATTGTTTATGAACAAGTTATTGCTAGTACTATGAGTGCGTCTCATGTCTTTTCTAAAGACTAGCTCGCTGATTTGCTGACTAAGTCGTTGCCTCGGCAATGCTTACAGACTCTTATTTTCAAGCTTCTGTTCGTGACATGATGTTCAGCTTGAGGGGGCACTCAATTATGGTCAGTATTAATTATGGTAGACTTTATGTTTTAATCCGTTTCTGTTATTGTTTTCCTAGTTTCAGTTGAGTCTGTATTCCCTTTTACAAATCTTCTGTCTTGTTTTCATTATTCCCAAGAAATACAATTGTTCACTGGAGCCTCCATCTCCCCCCATCGGTGCTATATTCCTTTGCCTCCATCGCCATCTCTCGTTGTCACTCCTATCTTTTCATCACCATTGCCCTCCTCGATCATATCGTGTTGGAGTTGTGCGTGCCCTCACCCCAATCCCGCATTGTTATGATTATAGTTTTTTTGGACTAAGCCCTCAAAGATTTGTTTTTGAGCACCTTAGAAAAGACCCCGTACTTATGGGTTGGGTTAGACCTATTTATTGGTCCCTCATCTCCTTTACCTTTTGCGTTGACTTGGAGGAATCTCAACAAACTTTCCCTGAACAAAGGACCACACATTGTGTGTACCATACCTATAGCAATAATCCATTTTTATTTGTCAATCATCTTGCACTGCCACTACACTCTTCGTCAGACATGTTGCCCGGCCTTATGTCAGGAAGACTTTCGATGCAAGGCTCGAATTGCAGATCTCCTCTTTGGTAGGCTACACCATTTGATCAACCAAATCATCATATCATGTACCGATGCTACAATGTTGTTGGACATGCTACGTGACCTCTTATTGTCAGGAGGTTTTTCGACAGAAGGCACCACCTACAGATTCCCTTCTAGTCTTTGTCCTATTTTTACATCCTCACACCAAGATTTCTCACACTGCATAGTCCGGCACTCATGCCCGCTCTAAGCCCGAGCTTCGATACCAAATGTTGGGATCGCGCCTACCCTCACTCCAACCCCACATTAGTATGATACTCCGTATTATGCAATTTGGGCTAAGCCCTTAGGAATTTATTTTAAGAATCACCCAAAATAGGGGTAAAACCATAACTTTTATCTCCAAAATAGATGTTTTGTGTTTCCATCCTTAAAATAAGAATTTACACGACAATGTGGCACTCACTCTTTTGAGGGCCTTGACATTTTTCCGGATCTATTAATGGACATCATTTGGATTTGGGTTGCATCTTGGGCCTTGTATGGGATGCTCTTCGGTCTGCATGCTTCTATTGGTCATGGGCTTTTTGTGTGGACTGGTGGACCTTGATTCTGGCATGGTTCTCTGGTTCGTCAATGGGACTGGGCTTTGTTCAGGCATGGGTTTTGCACACAACACTTTGGATTGGCTTTTCATTCATACTTTTGGGCTGCACATTTATGCTTTTGGCCATGCATGCTGCTTTTTGGGCTGCGCTATACTCGGGACTTTTTACATTTATATTCTTGGACTATACTTTGGTTGACAGCGGAGCTTGATTTTAGGAAAGGGTAATTTACCTAAATAAGACTAAAACATAATGACTTTTTCAATATAGGACCATATATATTTTTTCCCAATGTAAGATCATTGGTCATTATCTATAAGTCATTATTCAACTAAATGTTCAACATCACTTGGATATTATTCTTCTCACTAGTTATTATTAAGTCCTATTTAGGGAATAAAAAAGTTTAAGTTCTAAATTGGGAAATGACTTATGTTTTAGTCCTATTCAGTGCAAATTTCACTTCAAGAAATGCCTTGATTGACTAGATGGCTCGAGGTATATGATCCTAGGCCTTATCCTTGCGGGGGACGGGGATACAGACGTGATTGATTTTGGGCTTACATGGTCTTTAGTGCATTTCTTGGGCCTGTTCTGTTTGTTATTCTGGCCTTTGTTCCCCCATACCCTATTTCTGTGGGATTTTACTTTGTTGTTTTGTAATTCTGGCCTTTGTTTATTTTATTTCTTCTTTTATGAGTGTGGAGCCTGTTTCAACTTGCATGACTATGTGTTCGTTTTTATGCTTTAATAAAATTACCGTTTCTTGGTTTTAAAAAAATTACTTTTTTTTTCTTTTTTAGACGTGTTCGATTATTTTGTTTAGTGTCTCTTTGTAAAATCATTATGAATGTGCTTTTGTTTCATTTGACATTTCTTTATCAATACAATTTTTGGACTAATATGCAATATAAGATTTACATAATGAGGACGGGTAATCTTACATCATTTTATTCGTGTAAGATTATTACATCAATTCAATTGAAGTACCTACAGTGCTTCAACCGCAACACTGATTGTTCCTACTCCCGGTAAACCCCCATAGCTCGCCCCGTCCCCAACGTACTCCCACACCCCGTCAATTCCATCACATCAAATTTTATTGACTTTCGGGTAAAATATTTGACTAAAATTTGGTGTAATGAAGTTGGTGGGGTTGCGTTGGGGATGGGGCGGGCTAGGGGGTTTACCGGGAGAGTTAAGGGGTAAGAACAATCAATTTTATGAGAATTTTGTTTTGGAATGAAGGTATAGTGGTGGATGGAGGACTATATATATATTTTGGAGAACAAACAATGAAATAAAAAGTTTAATACATGACTGCATGAGATTGTGACAAACTGTGATATTTGTGCTATGGTCATGGAATTACATTATTGCATGCTGCAAAATACCCAGGTATGTATTAACTTGAGTTGTCTCATTGAAATGGTTTGGCAGGATAAAGCATTGCAGGATGAGAACAACAAGCTTGCTAAGAAGGTAATTCTCATTTCATCACTAAGAAAATTTACTATATATTATGTCTTCCCATTGGCTTATATATAGCCTTGCATCATGTTTTGATGGAGTGAATAAATAAGTAAATAAACAAATGAGGGACAAAGGTAAAAATGTTTTGGTGGTCAAAAGTTGATATATGTTTTTAAGTATCTTCAAAATAAGGGCGTTACACTGCGACAATATGGCACTATATGTCTATATGTTGACATTCTATATTGTTTTCTAGTATTACTCCTTCTATTCCTGCATATTTGTTTACTTTTGACTTTTTACAGTAAAAAGTGGTAAACTTTGACAACTAATTAAATAAAAATGATATTAGATATTGATACAAAATAGTTTTAATAGATACATTTTATAAAATATTTTTAAAATGCTATTTTATTTTATTTCTATACAATATATATATATTAAAAATGCTTAAATACAAAAAGTCAAAATTGGATAGATATTCAAGGACCAAGATAGTATATGTTTGCATTATTGGCTTTATAAGTCTTATTTCGAGGATGAAATCATGAATATCTTATTTTGATTCATTGTCTATGTTTTACTCATATTTAGGTCTTTTGGATAAAGATCTATCTAAATAAGATTAAAACACGACGCTTATATCAAACTAATACATCCCATGCACATGTGAAAAAAAAACATCCTATGTAGGTAATGTGAAACACCAAAATTTGGCATTGTCATATTTTAGTATAAGTATAAAAACATTGACCCAATGTCATGGGATGACCCGGGGGCGCTCCGGTGTCCCGTTCGTAAAATTGACGATTCCTACCCCCCGGTAAACCCCCTCACCCGCCCCGACCCGAACACACCCCCACCCCCTTCAATTACACCCCACAAGTTGATTTTGACTTTGGAGTCAAATTTTGACTCTAAAGTCAAAATCAACTTGTGGGGTGCAATTGAAAGGGGTGGGGGATGTGTTCGGGTCGTGGGGGGTTTACCGGGGGGGTTAGGGGGGGTAAGAACCGTCAATTTTACGAACGGGGCACCGGAGTGCCCCGGGTCATCCCATGACATTGGTTCCCAATGTCATGGGAACCTTGCCCTTTTTGTATATGAAATATATTTTAGTTCTAGTTGGGTATTTCTCACTTTCTAATCTTTAGTGCTCAAAATGTATTGAGTGTGCTCAAAATTTATTTATTGTGACTGTAAATACTCAAATAGTAATACCAGTCGTATACTAGTATTTAATTATTAATCTAAATTATCCAATTTGATTGAAAAGCTGTGAATGCTAAGCTAGAGAGAAAGAAATAGTAAAATAGGAACAATAATAAACATAGGGAAAAATCAAATTGGAATTTTAATACTTTTATCTCTAAAATAAGACATATAATGTCAATAATACTAAAATATAGTACCAAAAATACTGTGAAACACTACTTGAATGTATAGTTATATGTCTTCATAGTGTAATAATTCTATTTTGAGATAAAATATATCCTGATTTAGAGATAAAGGTCACATTTTTGCTTTTTTTTTTGGGTGATTTTTGAATAGGAAGAGCATTTCCCTAACGAAAACTAAAGTTTGATTGAACAAAACGTACAGATAAAGGAGAGGGAGAAAGAGATTGCTGAATGGGAGACTACGCAGAACGACGACATGAACTCCGCCGCCTATGGTTTACCACAACACCTCATTAACTCCTTTCACCTTAGGTATTAAATTAATTGAGATTCAATGTCACATTTATTTCCCATCTCTTTATTAATTTCTTCTCCAATCCCTTCTCCATTTAGCGATTTTACTGAGTAAAACGTCTAAGTGGAGAGGGGATGAGGCGAAAGAGCGTCGGGAGGAGAGGTTCTAAGCGGGTGAGAATCACTTTCGAGTCTAATAGAGCACCGTTGGTGTCCTAAATGAACCAATGTCGTATTAAGAGGACAGTTGTGTTGAGTTGGTTCCTTGACAGTTGACATGGCATCGGAGCTTTGTTGACTAAGAGGTCACGGGTTCGAAACACAGCGCCACCCAGTTTTAAAAAAATTATGGTTTCACGTGCAAGGCTCGAAAAAGACTACGTCAGCACGTGAGAAAGGCGTGTTAGAAACATATGAAACATTTCGTGGACCACAACCACAAGTTTGAGCTTTTGGTTAAATTGGTCTCTTGACAATAATATAATGTATTTTGTGGTACTTTTGTTTGTGATTCTAGCATTTTTCTTTTTTTCCTTTTTTTTGCTTGGAATCTTGGAATTGATATGTTTTTTTAATAGTCACAAACAAAAATTGCAGTGAAAGGTATCATTGTGGAGGAGTAGAGTATGGAGAGATGGAAGGGAATTTGCCTCAACAACAGCCAAACACTGTGATTCCCCAGTGGATGCTTAGTCACATAAATGGCTACATAAAATGAAATTATGATCATTTTGCAGAAGAGTATATATTCAATGCCTACAAAGGTAAGTTGTGTGTACATAATTGTGGTGATTAAAAAAAGAAAAAAAAACAAATTAAGAGATGTCCATTTAAAGGTTGTGGCTGTTAGAGACTATAGTGTAGTAATGTGTAGTTAATTACCATTTGGATATAAAATATGGGTATGTATGTTTTGTATATTAATGTAATGCACATATGCTTTACTCCGGTAATTATTATGGATGTGGGTTGTGATTTTTGTTCGATTAATGTCTTTTATTTTTTTACAAGAAAGGGTTAAATCCTTGTTTGGGAATAACGTAGGGGTGGGTGCGGTTCGAAAGGTTATGGTAAACTATTAGGAATGGTACCGTACCATTACTATTCAAACTGATTCGGTACAGTTTTGGTTTTGGATAAGAACCAATCGGTATGGGGTACCCCTTTGGAACGAGAGGGTTTAATACCATACTATTGCTAAATGTGTGTGTGTGTGTATGTATATATATATATGTATGTATGTATGTATGTATGTATGTATGTATGTGTATGTATATATATATATATACACACACACACACATACTCCCTCCGTCCCTAAATAAATTTTCTTTTTTGACTTTTTGAGGATTTAAGGAAGAGATATTTTTGTGTTGACTTTCCAAATTACCTTTGATGTGTGTGTAAAAGTAAGATGTGATATGTAGATTATTAGTAAAAAGGTATGATGTGATAGGTATGGTATGAAAAAGTAAGGGGTAAAAGGGGTTTTTTAAGGGAAAAGAGAAGTTTATTTGAGAACAAACAAAAAACGAAAGAGGAAGTTTATTTAGGGACGGAGGGAGTACTCTATAAGAACAATGAGCATTTGGATACTAATGTCAAATGTTTGGTACCTTTATATATGCAAGACTCCCCTAAATGAGTATTGAAACATTAAAATTCCAATGGGAATGCATGAGTACCTAAGGAGTAATGGAGGATAATGTAAAAGCTGTTTAATTGTGGCACCCCCTTCTGCCAAAAAAAAAAATTAATGTAAAACTTAAGTACATATACATAGACTACTATGCATTCAAATTGCCAAAATCATCAAACTCACTATCACCCTAAAGGGCTAAAGGCTCTACTTAATTCAAGAAGTAAAAGTACTAGAGTAGTTTTTTCATTTGGGCAATTGGGCCTTGAGTATGAATTTTTAATATTTAATATGTTAGACCGAGTCATTAAGGGATTAACATTTAAATGTTTTTTTAAAAAATATAAAATAGATAAAGAATCCTTTCCAAAGGAATCAAATAAATTGGAGGAAATTCTTAAGGGTGACTTCTTAACATTCCTCTAACTAGTGTAATATATATCGTATAATCGATTGTATGATACAATCCGTACATCCGTGATGAGTATTCATTTTCGAGAAACTGTAAATTTATTTTCATGTAATCGAACATTTATTTTCGAGCAATTAAATACTTTTTTCGCGTAACAAAATACTTATTTTTCCTAAATTTTAGTTATAAAAGTAAATAAATATTCAGTTACTCGAAAATAAATACTCCCTCCGTCCGGAAATAAAGTTTACGTTTCTCCTTTTTCTCCGTCCGAAAATAAAGTTTACATTTCTAATTTTAACCCACACTCTTCCAAAAAAACCCTTCTCTACCATTTCAATCTTCTCTCTCCCTCTCCCCCCTTCCTCCTCTTCTTCCTTAGTTCCTCTTTTTTTCTTTTTCTTTCTCTCATCCGCCGGATCTGTGAACTTTCAATCCTCCCTCTCCCCCTCCCTCTTCTTCTTCTTTTTCTTCTTCTTTCTTCTTCTTCTTCTTCTTCTTCTTCTTCTTGCTTTTCTTCTTCTTTTCTTTCTCCTGAGCAGAAACGGACGGGACCAACGGCAAATGAACCGTTTTTGCACGAGGATCACGAATATCCAGTCTTTTTTTCTAATTCTACCTTGAACTTCATGAATTGAAGATTTTAGGCTCGGGAAAACCCTAGGATTTGAAATTGGCTTCAATTTTTGCAATTGATGGTTCTTCTGTGGTTGGATGGACTGTGGGAGGTGCCTGGTGGGGTTGTGCGACGTCAGAGGTGGCGGAGGTGGCCGGAATTGAGGAAAACCCGCCGGAAACCGACGGCCCGGGTCGCGGTGGCGATCTGATGATTCTGGTAACCAAATCGGCTGAGACCAGTCGCGTTGGAGTCTCCTGTTCTTTCTCCCGAAGTAGGATGGGCTGTTTTCAGATTTTGAGCCGTCAGGTCAGGATGAAGGGGTAAAAGCCAATTTTGAGCTGTTTTTTCGGTTTTGAGCCGATGATGGGCTGTTTTCCGTATTGTGTTCAGGTGAAAAAGCAAAAAGGGGAGAAAGGGGTATTTTTGGTATTTTAAGTGCTTAGTCAACTTCCAATAAAAATGACAATAACTCAAAACGTAAACTTTAATACCGGACGGAGGGAGTATTCTATTATTTGAAAATGATACCTAAAAAATGTGTATTCAACAAAATTCTTGTGTTGTTGCCGTCCATAGCCATATTTCCCTTATTTGGGCTTTCCGGTGAAAAAACGACGACCGTGTGTCCGAAAGAATCTCATGGGAGGACCCCTCTGGACGTGTGGCTGGGGGACTGCCCGGCGTTATCCTCCGTCTCATCCCAAATCCCCTTCAATTCCTCGCAAAATCTTCTTACCTCCCTGCTCCTCCCTTGAATGCCACCTCTTAGGGACGTCTTATTCCCGGCTCCGGTTCCGGATTCCGGCTTCCGGCCCAGATTTTGGGGGCAGCGACGGTGAAAACCCCAGAAAGCCTCATGTGATCCCTGAGGCCGGAGAGGAAAACCCTAATCGGCGGCGAGGTTTTGCTGCTGTGGTGGAGAGTGTGGTCCCGCGAGGGGATACTGCTATAATTTCTGCCTGCATCGTCGGGCTTTTCACAGGTATCTCTGTTGTACTCTTCAATACTGCTGTACATGAAATACGCGACTTCTGTTGGGGAGACATTCTACATTGGGGTGGCTCCTGGCTACGCGAGGAGTCCAAAGAGTTGATTCGGGGACGGGTAATCTTAGTGCCCGCTTGTGGGGGTATGGTAGTGAGCTTGTTGGGTTTTCTGCTAACCAGACTAGATGTACCCTTTGAAGGAGACAATGGGTCACCCTTCAAACATGTGGTGCAATCACTCTTGAAGACAATGGCTGCTTGTGCCACACTAGGAACGGGCAATTCGTTGGGACCCGAAGGTCCAAGTGTTGAAATTGGGAATTTTGTTGCGAAGGGAATTGGGTTTTTCTTTGATAGAGGTGCCCAAACAAAGGTGCCTCTCAAGGCTGCTGGGTCTGCAGCTGGAATCTCTTCTGGGTTCAATGCTGCTGTCGCGGGTTGTTTTTTCGCAGTGGAGTCAGTGTTGTGGCCATCACCTGAAAATTCATCGTTATCATTGACAAACACGACCTCAATGGTTATTCTCAGCGCTGTGGTAGCCTCTGTGGTTTCAGAAATTGGCCTGGGATCTGAACCAGCGTTTGCAATCCCAAGTTACGATTTTCGTTCTCTGGCTGAGTTACCACTTTATCTTTTGCTTGGTATTCTTTGTGGGTTGGTTTCTTTGGCATTGTCTAGGTGTACATCTCTTATGTTGCTTGCAGTCTGCAATATCCAACAGGCCATTGGCACACCAAAACTAGCTTTCCCTATATTGGGTGGGTTATCCGTTGGGCTTATAGCATTGGCATATCCGGAAGTTCTATACTGGGGGTTTGAGAATGTTGACATTTTGCTAGAGTCTCGCCCATTGGTCAAAGGGCTTTCCGTCGATTTGTTGTTACAGCTGGTGGTGGTCAAAATCGTAGCAACATCAATATGCCGGGCCACTGGATTGGTGGGAGGCTACTATGCCCCTTCCCTGTTTATTGGTGCGGCTGCTGGCATGGCATATGGCAAAACTGTTGGCTTCATCATCACTCAAGCCAGTCCAATATCACATATCTCCTTGGATGTTGCTTCACCACAAGCATATGCTCTGGTTGGCATGGCTGCCACTCTTGCTGGAGTCTGCCAGGTGCCTCTTACTGCAGTTCTGCTACTCTTTGAACTGACACAAGATTATCGGATAGTTCTTCCTCTTTTAGGAGCTGTGGGTATGTCGTCTTGGATTACATCCGACCGGATTAAGGGAATGACAATGGAGGATGTGAAGAAAACGAAAGATGGAAGACCCTATACAGCCCAAACACCGGAAACATCTGTCCCGGCGACTAATCATCCCTTTACTGGCACTGATTCTGTAGCACATTCACAGGTCAGTGACCTAAATGAATGCGACAACGACAGACATGAGTGGACAAAGAAGACACTTGTTTCACAGGCAATGAGAACAGACTACATCACTGTTTCAATGAACACTTTGCTTGCAGAGGTTGTGTCTCTCATGTTAGCCGAGAAGCAATCATGTGCCCTAATAGTTGATGAAAACAATCTTCTTATTGGTCTGCTTCCACTTGGTGATATCGAGATATACATGAAGAAATCAAGAACAAAGAGAGGTAAGGACCTTGCAGTATCTCATCTCTGTTCTTCCCCTGAGAATGAGCGCCGGGTGCTGTGGACTGTAACACCAAACACAAGTCTGTTTTCTGCACAAACCCTGATGGAGAGCCACGGCATGAATCTGCTACCCGTGGTTTTGGAGCACGGTGGTCACCCGGTTGGCTTCCTAGACAGAGAATGCATTGATATTACTTGCAGAGGCTTAGAAATCAGGGATTTCTTTTGCCGGTCCGTCACACCAGAAATGCCAATGCACTAAGAGCTTTGAATATTTGGGGATGTGTTTTGTTTAGTTCCCATCATGTTACATGACAGTTGACCTGGGGGATGTAAATATCACAATATTGGCTATTGCTAGTTTCTCCCCAATATATATGTGTATATATCTCCCCTAATTTTTGCTCTTCTACTCAATATTTTTATCACTTTAAATAATTTGGGTTTGATTGACTTTGAAAGCAGCAGGACTTGGGGCTTACAAACTTAAATATTGTTATAGCTATTAGCATCCAATTTCAAAATATTAGAACAAAACCAAATAGACATATTTACCCCTCTTCCCCTAAACCATATCTTCTTCACTGACCCTTTCAATTGGGGCTTCATTCTTTTTTGTTCTTCACCATTTCTTTTCTTTAAGGTCATGTTGCCCGATTTCCTGCATAAACTTGGTATGCTCAACTCATTGTGCGATTTGATTTTTTTTAGAACAAATTGTACGATTTGATTTTAAATTGAAAAAATATCAAATCTGATTTGACTGATTCA